GGGTTAATTAGTATCGAATTTCAAAATTTTATCAAATGGCGACTGAAGGACGCCTCTCGAATGCAAAGGGTTAAAATTTATTCTACAATTTTTTATATAAATTACTCATTTCCATTAGATGAGCAAATTGTATTTCTTAATTCCTCTTCATTTCGTTTCTTAATTTTATTTTTTTATTTGTCAATTCCCCAAATTTATCAGTTACTGAGTTATTTGAAACATTCTGACATTTTAACACGAAATAAAAAGTAAATCGATTCGAAGCATTTGAATTGTGTTCCTTGTAAGAGGGATTTAGCGGTAAGTAGTTCACAAGAACTAAACACTTTCCGTCGTGGAATTGAAAGTCCTCTGGGAGCAACTTGCCGAACTGGTTTAAGGGGATTAACCGTGTAGATCCATTGATCCTGTTTTAAATCAGTTATTGTTCGCTGCTCAGGCTTTCCACACGGTTAATCGAGTTTTCTATCGATTGTCGATTTAGGTTAATCTTATCGGCAGAGCAATGATCTCAGGAAGTAATTAAGCATGCCATAAGTAGACCCCCGAGCAAGCTATTGAAAGTGGCCACTACTTACTTTCTATTTGTCGCGGAAATGTAAATTTTACTATGGAATTCGTGTATGTACATTGTTTACATATATTTTCTTATTCATATTATATTTTATGTACAATTTTAGTGCAAGGTTGCATAGAAAAATAATATATTTTGTTAATTAAATAAGGAATACATTTCGAATATTGCTATTATAAATATTGTATAACGGTTTGGGGTATTAAGTATGTTAATTCGTGTTGTTTAAAGTAAAATATTACGTTTAGATTTTATTCTTTTAATTTTATTTTTGGTTTAGCCCCAGTAGCAAGAATTTTCATTTCCCAAAAAAGTTCTTAGTTCTCAAATTAATTACTGTTTTCTACTTTAATAACCATAATATAATAAATAATAATTAATAATAACATAAGTCACCATAACCAGTTTTTCCAACAGCAAAGAGTAACTTATATTATACCCAAATCAATGCTCTTTTCTGCTAATAAAAATGAGTAAAATTAAAAATGATTGGATAAAAAATTTGTAAGACTTGTATTTCTAATGGACTAGAGAAAGAAAAGAAAAAATTCTTTAAGAATTCATTAAAAATCTGCTCTATTTACATGATAAAGAACCTGCCTTTTAGTTTTAGAATTTTAATATGCTCCTGAATAAATTATACACAAATAAAAACAAATAAAATCGTGTAATGAAAATAAATAGGTAGATGTATTTAACTATACTTCAGTCTCACATTTAAAAAATAACAGTATATATATTTTGAGTAATCACAAAAACATTATATGTATTTTGAGTAATCACAAAAACATTATATATATTTTGAGTAATCACTAAAACATAAACTTATATATGTATATATATCAGTAGGATATTTTGTGTAAATATATAAGCATAAAATTTTGTATAGTTTATTTTGACTAATTTAGCAGTTATAGTACTAAATATCAATAAATAATTCAGGGTCTAATAATTATCACTTAGAAATCGTTTGACTTAAACGCTAATGTTTACTTACAAAATAAATATGCCAGTAAGAAAGAAATAAAATAAAATTTTTTAAATATTATATTTTATCCAAAGAAAATGTAAGTTAGGTGACACATATCACGTGTAAATTTCACATATTATATAATTAACCATCAATAAGTGATTTATATCAAATTATTAAAATAAATTTTTCAATTTACTAACGAATCAATTGCACACATTATATTCATCCCCTAAGTCTTTAAATAAAAATGAGCTAAATTTATTCCTCACTCTTCAAACCTCTTCGCATATTTCATTTTATTCTTCAATATTACCAGAATTATGGTACCACGGCAATTTCGCGCGATTTAAATTAAATTATAAATTCGACGACGCGATTAGTAAATGATTTGCCATCGAATCTTCGTGGACAATCGTCTTTGGGGTCTGCGACGCCATAAGGTACGCGGGGCTGACGCGCGCCACAGGAGGGCGGCAAGGGGTCGAGGGGGACCCGATTGCCTATGCGGCTAATGGGTCCGTTAATTGCCATAACACGACCTCAGGTTTATGATATGTCAATAGCTAAGGGAGCTAGGGCGTTTAGAGCGCACGTGCTTGCCAAATGTTCAGTAATCCGTGACTTCGGAGCTCTAATTACAAGAGTGGTACCCACTCTTCATACCTGTGGAAGACAGTGACTCCTTTCCTCCTGTGTCATGCATCTAGACTCCTATATGTACTCTGCGTTGCTGAAAAGAAGTCATCTCGTTCGATTGCGTGGCAAGAGGGGTATTCCACTAGTACCGCCTATACTCTCGTTAGTAATACCCACTCTTCTATGACACTCCCAAAACTACTATCTCCAAGTTCGCTAACGCGATACGTTAACATAGGCATAAGATATCCGCGAAAGAAACGTTATCTCAGAGTTAACTTACAATGAATTGGAAGCACTACTACGCCAGGCAATAAACGAAACGACACCAAATGATTGGAAAGGATTTTGTAAACACGTAGAAACACTGGAACACGAATATTGGACGAAAGATGGAATAATAGAGGACGCAACTGAAGACCTAGAATTGGAAATACAAAGCAGCGAGTCGGATAAGGAATCAGATGACAATAGCTCAAAGATTTATAAAGTAAAGAAGTACAAAAGTAATAATAATTAACATCATTTATGAAAATTGATTTAAAATTTAAGATGTATTTTTTATGATAAATTAATTATGTAATTGCATCGTACTAGATAACCGTTTAAAAAAATCACACGATACAACATAAATATAAAAAATATGTGTATAGTACATCACGTTTGCTGCATAATGCAATGAAAAGTTAATCAAGATGCTAATTAGTAATTAGTAATTGCAAATAATCATGTGTTCATCGGAAGAATCTGAAGTTAATATGCTTTTGGGATGAGTCTACGCTCTTGCATCTATTTGTTGCGTCTGTCTCACTTTGTCTCGTTGCTTCGTTCGCTTTCTTTGTCACATGGTGTTCTATGACCGGGCTAATAGGAAGGGATCAGTTCTACCAATAAGGGAAGCGTTTTACTCTACTTCTGCCATGATGTTAGAATGGTTGGTCTGGTGGGGATTCGGTCCTACAAGTTTCTCAGATGACTTCTTTTCAGTAACGCAGAGTATTTCATATATTAACCCCTTATACTACGATAACGAGTCCAATTCGTTGTGAATTTTTCATACTGGACACTAATAAGAAAATTGCACTTGCGTTAGTCTAAAAATTTCTTGCGAAATTTGTATAAATCCTAAAGATTGTTTATAATTTTATTGCGAATGGAATAAATATACAGTGGTTAATTATTATAGTTAACCCTTTGCACTCGAAAAGCGTCTCTCAGTCGCCATTTAATCAGATTCCAAAGATGAATGTTAATTAATATATCAAATTTACAATTATCCAACGATGAGTGGAATATCGAAGTAAAATAATTCTACGTCTTAATTTGCATACGATTTCTTATTTACCGTTTTAAAAATATCGTCGACCTTATGGCAGAAAGTCTTGGAATTATTATTTTTCTGTAACGAAAAAATCGCCGAGTGCAAAGGGTTAAATTATATCATAATGCAAGAGGTTAAATTCGAAATTTATATCTCACGAGTTATCCTATTAATTTTATTAAAATCCTCTTAAAATTTTTTAAAGATTGTTTAAATTCTTTGCACTAGAATTTTGTTTGTCAGGGAACATAGCAAATACAATAGAGACTATTATTGTACACTGCAAACATTTGTGTCAGTGATGAAAGTTATTTCACATATTTCAAATCGAAAATTTAAAAGAAACGACTTTATCGATTATTTTATGTGAATTTATTTATATCATAATAAAATACAAGTATTTTTAACAAAATAGCTAGGAAGTGAACCGTTAGATCGAATTTCTAGATTCATCTTATTTAATTTTATTAATTCATAATATATTTAAACCACGAAATTTTTAATATTTCCAATGATTCAGGCCACTTTTGTAATCTCTAGCACATTTATATTTCATATCACGTGTTAGTGGTGGATAAAATTTAATAAAAATAAGAACAATTATTTATTTAATTACAAAGATTATCAAACACAAATATTGGGTTGAAATATAATTATTTTATTACTATCACATGCTCACACTTCTTCTCTCTATTAATACTCAATTGCAACTGACTTATTCCAAATCACTCTCTTTTTTCTTTCTTCTTTCATACATTACATTCCATACGCAATTCACACCACACCTCAATCATTACACGCATACTCATATATCATAACCTGAATTCATTTGATATTTCCATCCCATGCATACATGTTCCACTCATTCCAATACATATATATTTAAAAATCTATGTAATCATTACCACATCACGTGTTGTTGTTTGTTTAGTATTTGAATAGCTGTCTGATCACGAGAATGTAGTTATAGAGAAAGTTTACCTATGATTCACTGGTTAATGAAAATAATACAATTACAAAATGAACATCACTTTATTACTATATCTCCTCTGCCATGAGAGCATAATCAGTTTGAAAGAAGAAAATTTTGAAATATGTTGCAAATCAACTAAAATGATTAATATTTTCAAAGAAATATTTTCACGTAGATTATTTGACATAGATAGGTAAATTATAAAATATAATGGAGAAAAAGATATCAAAGTTGATTTAATTTCTTTTAATGGGAACGTGTGTTTTATTGTGTTTGTCTACAATATAGTATTGCCAAAATAGTATTACCTGCCACGTAATATCATACAGCAGAATATACAGTTCGATATAAACCGGAAAAAGACTGACAATGAGCTTTAATCTAGAACAGCAACTGACAGCATCTGCCCAATTTCTTGCTTTCCTGTGCTATAAATTTTAGCTTCACGCGAGCGAAAGTTCTTTCGGTAGACATTGATAAAAAAGGCAAAACCTTTGTTTGAACGTGCTGTATTTTTGTCCAGCCCTCGAGCTGTCTCAGCGATAAGGAAGAGGACGAAATCTATGGCTTTGGATACGGAGTATTCAGCAGGCAGATGCTACAGCAGCGACAACAGAAACTTGCTCTAGCCGCGCAAAACACCACCACAGTGACGCCAGGCGGACATCAACAGCCTTATCAAAGGTAAGAACGTCTAATTATTATTGTACACTGTATAGTTGCTGTACACGTGGTTCTCGATCAACCTGACAAGTTAACAAAATACGACGTGTAGGAAAAATTATAATAACATTATCGATAATTGTTAGAAAGAAAATAATGCGAGGAGAAAATAATACTGAATTCACAAATATATTTTAATATACAAATACAAAATAAGAATTAAATGTGTATATACACTTACTGACAAAAGTTAAGAAATAAGGTAATTATTAAAAAGTTAAGGTAATTATTAAATAGTTAAGAAATAAGGTAATTATTAAAAGTTAAGAAATAAGGGAATTTCGGTGTATTCTTTATCTTCTAAGATACATAGGTTGAAATTACAAATAGTGTAGCATACCATTTCGGAAAGAAATCGCGAATCGGCCATTGCCAACAAAAACAAACTATAAACCGATCGATATTTTCTAGAAGCATATGGAAAAGTTATTTTGGGTAACAAAATTAAGTTGCGCGGTTCCTACGGGGAGGTGAAGCGTAGGTTAACCCTTTCGCTACTACGGGTGACTACAGTCACCGGCCACGAGACGTCATCTACACACGATGGGTGACTATAGTCACCGATCACAAAAATTGAGTAAAAAATTAAGACGAGTGCTACCGTTCCTCTTAGCTCTCTTCGCAAAGAATTGCAAGCTCTATCGCGATGGTCAGTTTTCCTTTTCTTTTTTTCTTCAAAAGATTTGCGTCGAAAGACCGAATGCTAAAGACTGCATGATCGTAATGTTGCCATCTTTGACACCGCACTGCATTCTATGGAAGAGACTTCGCGACGACGCTCGCCGTAGCGAAAGGGTTAAGAAAAGCATAAAAGCATGGTCCTCGACGAGCAAAACAGAGTCCTTAGAAATCAATTGTGACCAGCACGAGCGTGAGTCGCTTGGTGTTGGAAAGAGAGTTAAATTAGAGTGCGTCTTTGTGCGTTTTCGTTTCGTTATCTTGGTGTTCTTTTTCTAAGTTAAATTAGTTTTATGAGTTTTGAGTTTGTGTTGTTCTGTTCTTGTTGTTTTGTCAATTTTTGGTGTCTCAAAGCCTGTTTTCTCCATTCTACAATGGTATAATACAATAACATTCCATACACTTATGTAAGGATCACAATTAAATTGAATCGAAGAAATACGACATAGGTCAAGAAACATACAAAGTACTCACGATATGTTGGGGTCACAATGTAAACAAATATATTCCGAAACACTTAGTTCCCTTTCTGACATCGCTGAGTCTAGTTCATATTGTAGTTTGTGATAATTATGATAAGAAAATGTAACGACCATCATTTATATCCTCGCCACTGGATGGAGGACTTTTTCGCAAATTTATGGAAAACCTCCACTTTCCTATATATTTATAACTTTCCGAGCTTCCAATAGTATCCTAGTCTAAGGCAGGGCCTGCTAGGGTGGCCTTACTGATGAGTCCACCAGAAGGTCCGAGACGAAACGCATATCCCTCCTTTTCCTACCGTCCCTTACAGCACCACCTATCGCGACAGCGGCTCGACCCCACTGTACAGTTTACTCAAAACCGCTCCGTTCGCAAGGGATTAATAGTGTTCCGTCCCGGAGAGCGTGTTTATAACATAATTCTATTCTAAGGCTTACACTTTTAACAGACCCAACGGTTTATTTTATATTCTATACTGAGACTGCAATTTCGGAGGTTCGATGTGCCTCAACGCCGTTCTAGCGGATTAAGCTTATAAAGGTAATGTTAAGCCTTGGAATGCCGTGCCGGTATTTTGTTCAGCCCTTGATTAGAATAGACCCAGAAGACCGTTAGAGTCTTCTGGCAGCCAGATTCTAATTGCTGTTTTAGTTCAAGTTCCGTGTCCTTTCTATCTTCATTTTCAATGCATGTTCAAACAATTTTTCATTTCCCTCGGGTCACCGGACACGAGGCTTTCTTTAGCCATTAATGTTAGAAAGCAGGCAACAGCGCTTAGGATTTGGCTGACAATAGGCCTGCAAAGAAAGGGACCAGGCCATGTGCGATGTCGCGACTTTCGGAGCCATAAAGTAACGGGTCCTTCAGGAAGGATCACGAATGCGCGGGTGGCCCACCAGCAACCCCCTTTGAGGGAGAGGCTTCCTCCACCGGCAGACCTGGTCGCGGAAGACGGTCCTCCCTTCTTTGGGGGCATCTGATTCGCGGACCGAGGGCCCACCCTCGGTCCTGTCAACCACCAATGGGAAAACCGATTTCCCTTTGGAAACCATGGGCTCCGAAAGATCGTGCATCGCACAAGTTAGTTAGGTCAGTACCAGTCAGTCAGCAAATAACATTCGAAGAGTTCAGAAGAGTTAACCGGAACTATTACAAAATATACAGTCCACTATAAACACAACGTTCCTCAAGAAATTTGGTTCGTCACTAACCGTCGCCAATTGCGGACGACCTATTGACGATATACAATTACAAAGATACAGGTTTAATTTCGATAGAAGTGTCTACACTCGTTGAATACTGTGGTACAATTGGGTCCACTTGAATATTCTGTGTAGCCTCTACTGACTCCAAATCAACGACAGTCAGTGTCATTCAATCGGCACGAAAGTTGACCATTGACGATGCGACACACAATCGCCCTGTCTATCAGCATGACACCAAACAAAGTGAATCTGTATCGTTGTGGAACTTTGTAGCCGAACAGGCTGCCGGCTCAAATCGGCCAATTTCGAAAATTTGAACGATTGTGTCTGTACAGTCTATTGGCCGTGGAGATACAGTGTCTCCAGTGATTGTATCCTATTCTGTATAGACCATCATGTAACCGTGATGGTTAAACTGTCTCGTGAACAGCTGATACTTTGGTAGCAACAATTGATTTTCTTCGCAATTCTGATTCCTGATACTTGATTATGTTTGGTTTAGATTTTGTTAACATCGTTGAGGGGTTATAATGCAAAGGAATAGTAGTCAGTGGAAACGATGGAAAAACTGTATAGATGCTTATTAACCCATTGACATATAATGACGTTTGAAAGACGTCATCCATTTCACGTGTCATTGTGGACTTCGACGTCTCCGAGACGTCAAAAATAATCTCTGACGGACAGCATATCGTGCAGTATACTATTAACATTTTAACTGCCACGTTGATCATATATGACCGGCCATGGTTTCTCCCATGCCACCACACTGTCATTAGTAACCGGATTTTTATATGCTTTGAATAATAAAAATGTTATATTTATATTATATTAACGTGGCGTTAAACAGTATTTTTCGGACGCATCGAATTCTGTTTTATTTGTGTGTCAAGGAGTTAAACGGACGAACAATTAGGACTGGCCAGTCTGTTTAGAGCCGCGCTGACAAATGGCAAAACGCGGGGGACGGGATCGTCCCCACATTGCTTGAGCATGTGATTGCGAGAAATTAATTAGATTTATACTTTGTTACGGACCCAATGTGTTACACTCAGATCGTTGGGGCGGGCATGAGTGTTGGGTTGTAAGGCCAACGTGTGCAGTAGACCAGCTCGAAGGACCAAATGATTCGGCAGGCTTCGGCTCGGTGTTCCAATGATTGGACGGTGCCACAAGATCCTGAGTTGATTATGCCCGATTTGTTTTTAGAGCGGATAATCACTCCACGGGACTGATTGTGTACGACTGTCCGTATTTGACTGACTGAATGTTTCTTGTAGACTCTTTGAATGTTTGATGTTTGACTGTTCCATGATGACTGACTGATGTAGACTGACCGTGCAGACTGCTTGTTGTGAACTGACTGCGCGATGCACGATCTTCCGAAGCCAAGGATTGTTAAAGGAAATCGGTTTCCTGATTGGTGGTTGTTAGGACCGAGGGTGGGCCCTCGGTCCGCGAATCAGTTGCCCCAAAGAAGGGAGGAACGTCTTCCGCGACCAGGTCCGCTGGTGGAGAAAACCTCTCGCTCAGAGGGGGTTGCTGGTGGGTCACCCGCACATTCGTGACCCTTCTTGAGGTGACCGTTACTTTATGGCTTCGAAAGTCGTGACAACGCACATGGTCTGGTCCTTTCTTTTGCAGGCCTATTGTCAGCCAAACCCTAAGTGCTGTTGCCTGGTTTATAAAATTAGTGGCTAAAGAATACCTCGTGTCCGGTGACTCGAGGAAATAAAGAACAGTTTGTAAAATATATTGAAAATGGAGAAAATAGTAGTTGCTAAAGAATACCTCGTGTCCGGTGACTCGAGGAAATAAAGAACAGTTTGTAAAATATATTGAAGATGGAGAAAATAGTAGTCACGGAACTTGAAATAAAACAGCAATTCGGATCTGGCTGCCAGAAGACCGTAACGGGTCTTCTGGGCCTGGGGTTTGTCCCAGGATGGGACAACCCTTGATTTAACAATCCTGAACATACTTAATATTTACGTTTGATTATTTTTTTGTAATTAAATAAAGAATTGTTCTTTTGTTATTGATATTCCATCCACCACTAATAGTGCCCACCTACGAAGACAAAAGACGATCTGGTACTCAAATATAGAAAGCGATCGCCAGGGCAGTTAATTCTCCCAATATTTTTTACATATTTAGAGTTTAATGTTAATTCAATTTGTATAGCACTTCTTCTATGAACGGTTATAGCGAGCAGACGTGTTTCTATCATCCTGTCCATTTATATAATATATCATAATAGTGTAAAAGTATAGTATTTTGTAAACTAGTATTTCATCATGTCCAAATCTAATTGATCTAATATTATATTACACGTGTGTCAGATGTTGTCTAGACTGAACTAAAACTGTTTCTTCTCCGTAAACTTTTAATCCCATTACTGTGGAAATTTCTGACTAATTTGATGTCTAGTAGACAGGTTGAGAGTCATTACTCAATCCGTCTGAATCGTTTAGAGAGTTTGCGGAGAACTGAAATCGTATCATCTCGCTTGCAACAACAGCCATACTGAATGGTCCTTCGATAGCAGTTGATCGAAGTTAGTCGTTGAAATAGTCAAACGAAATTGTGCTG